ATTAAGAGCTTTCTGTTCGCCGGGCAGGACACGACTGCCACCCTGATTCAATGGCTCTGCTTCGAGCTCTCCAAAGCTTCGTGGTCCCCGTCCGCGGCAGCCATTCTCGAGAAACTGATTGAAGAACATGATTCGGTATTTGGCAAAGAGGGAGGCCCGTTCAACGCGCTCGACATTCTCGGGCGCACAGATGAAGAGTCCCGTAAAGAGACTGAAGCCATTCTCGGCAGTCGCCTACCCTACACGACAGCTTTTATCAAGGAGACGTTGCGTCTACATCCCCCTGCATCTACGGCGCGACGGATCCCCGACGTCTCGCCTGAAAATCCAACACCGGTAATGTTAAAATTGCGCACAACTAGTGGAGAGGAAAAGGAAGTTGAGGTCAATGGCGTAAGAATTTACGTCTGCGGGTACTTGGTTCACCTGAACAAAAAGGTTTGGGGGGAAGATGCCGCGGTCTTTCGCCCTGACAGGTGGCTGGATGAAAAATACGTGGCGTCTTTACCAACCGGTGCGTGGCGGCCCTTTGAGCGCGGTCCGAGGAATTGTATCGGACAGGAGTTGGCAATGGTAGAGGCCAAGGTGGTGCTTTGTGCCGTGGCAAGAGGTTTCCAGTGGGAGAAAGTAGGTTATTCAGGGAAAACACAGAAGGTAGATATGGACAGACCGCGAGGAGATGGCAAGGATGATGGTGAGCGGGAGGTATGGAGCGTTAACCAGGTCACGTCTGTGCCAGTGGATGGGATGACGATGAAGGTTCAGTTGCGGACGTGATGTTGTGTGAACAGACTGAGATTTAGAGGGATGGCGCAGATGAAGCGAGTCTTTCTAGTGAGCCATTTTCCAGCTTCGGCTGATGTGCTTGACCTGAATATCGTACTCGGTGTTGTACTCGGGATGTGTGATGTGTGTACAAGGTGCGCAATATGGTAGCCTTACTGGTCTCAGGCTACAAGGCTGAGAGTGGCTAAGTGGCTCGGGCCCGAACAATATTAGTCAGCCCGAGCGGGAGGGATCTACTTTCCTCCAGACCACGGAGATCGCTGCAACGCGTCCCTCCATCGGCGCGGACTTGGTTGTCAGAAGCCGATAGAGCATCAAGGATCTGCTTGACGATCATCCCAAGGAATTTTGCCCCCCAAATCTGAGCTTCCATCAGCCAGTTGAATTGCATGGCCATCTAGGCACCGAGAATAACGACAGCCCAGAACCTCGTGTCGGTGTCCCTTGTCCCTCCTCGAAACTCACGCCATCCACGCCACATGGCGCAGGCACCCAATTGAATAGCTGCGTCTGCCACCACTTGAGCCTGTGGCGTCCAATACTTCTGGCAACTTCGAGCTGCGTCGCCGCCATCGTCGCCTAAGGTTCTTGGAAGGTGCATGCGTAGGGAATGCGTTTGCCTAGGCAGCGGGGTAATCACAACTCAAGGTAATGTTGCTATAAAGGATCTTCTGACCTGTACTGTGGCTTGCCATCTCTTCTATCATTATCATTTCTCACTCCTTTTCTACATTATCCATCACTGAAGCAAGCAAGATGCCTCCCATCTACTACTTGAATCAACCACCTCATCCCTTCTGGGACTTTGTTGCAGGTATCGAAGATCACCCTTTCTTCGCCCAACAGCGACGACCTGTCCCAGCGACTCCACCACCGCATCCCCCTCGTCCAGGGGCCGAACAGTCTCAAGCGCGAGCACAGGCTTCCGCCTCTGCCTCTGCCCAAACCAGCGAAAAAGCCAAGGGCAAGCAGTCTGAGACCAACATCGAGGACCCTCCTGAAGTCGACCCTTCCACTCTACCATCCGAAGGTAAAAACGTGCCGTTCCGTGGCCGTGGCCGGTTCGCAAAAGCCTTCGAAGACAAGGACAACAAAGACAACGCCGAAGAAAGCAACAGCGGCCGTCGAGGTGGACGTGGCTGTCATGGCCATCATGCTGCCCACAACCCCTGGGCAGGACCACCTCCATTTGCGCCCCATGCATTTGGTCCCCCTCCATTTGGGCCTCCTCCCTTCTTCTTCGGCCCTCATGGCCCCTTCGGTCAGCATGGGCCCCCGGGACACGATGGTGCTGAAGGCCATGGTCCGCGTGCTGGGTTCCGCGGCCGCGGAGGTTTCCATAGAGGTCGTTGGGGACCACACCATCATCATGGACCTCACTCACGCTCACCACCACGCGGCGGCCCCTTTGCCGATGGTCGAGCAGGGCAAGCACCCGGCTTCGACCTAGGCAATTTCCTGAACAACCTTGGTGAGCGTCTTGGGGTCGACTTGACCTCTGCCGCTGAAGGTCTGGGACTGCGATCCCCTCGCTCGACCGAGACCGACTTTGAGCCAAGAACCGATATCTTTGATACGGCTTCGGCCTACATCATCCACCTTTCTCTCCCCGGTGCTAAGAAATCCGACGTGGGCGTCGATTGGGATGGCGAGAAATCGGTCGTGCGTGTCGCTGGCGTTGTCCATCGTCCCGGTGTCGACGAAGACATGATGTCACGCTTGGTCGTGGATGGCCGCAAGCGCGAAACCGGCGTCTTTGAGAAGACCATTCGTTTGGGAACGTCCAAAGACCCTGCCAACGTTGACGTCGAGGGCATCACTGCCAAGATGACAGACGGCGTTTTGATCATCCGCGTGCCCAAGGTTGAGAAGACCTTTGAGAAGAAGGAAGTTCACGTCGGGGGGAGCTCGTCCCCCTCGCCCGTGCGGTTTGACGAGAGACCGGAGGACGCATACATGAACGAGAAAGACCTGCTATTTGATGCCGCCGACGACGAGGACAGGGACATGTACGACGCCGAGCCTGCGACTGTCCCTCAGGTTCAAAACAAGGCTCCCACAATCCAGCACTCTTATCCGATGGATACCACAATGGCGGAGACAGGAGAAGCGAAAGAAAAGCGTCGTGAGGCCAAGGAAGAAGAAGCATGGCGAGACCGCGACGACCGCGACGAGACGGTCGGGTGTGAGGCTCCCCACAACGAAACGACGGAGACCCTTCCTAGGTATGAGCCAGAGGATAGCAACAGCCAAAGCCATGCTCAGGCTCAACAACAACACCAGCACCATGAAAGTGTCGATGAGGAGGACAATCTGAGTGACTGGGAGAAATCTGGCTCCGAGGATGAGGGCGAGTACGTCAAGATCAACGTTGACTAAGCCACTGCGTGTCACTAGGGCGTGCAATCATACTTTGGGCTAGGATGTTATTCTTATAAGCCACGAAAGAGAATACGATACTATTCGATAGGGAGGGTTACTTTATGGACACGTCTTGGGTAGTTTTTGATAATTGATATGGTCGAGCCAAAAAAAACAACAACAACAATACGGATACCATCTAACATATATCTATCTATACTTGAGAAAAAGAAACGGGAAATAAAAAAGGAGGCGAGGGACAGATATGCCCTCGTTTTATCACTGTCTACACGTTTTACCTGTTCCATTCATTCCAGTCATTGATTCATCCCTTCCCTTCCCTTCCACTTCCACTAGGAAACTTAGTCGCATCGCTGACGCGCAGATCCTCCAAAGACATCCATTGTCGGTGTCGGTATCGTAGTCGATTCTGATTTACAGCCCCAGCGCAGCAAGGCCATTTTCAAAGTCAATGTCAAATTGCAGTATCAATCTCAGTACATGGATCGATGGGTACGTAGACCCTCCTCCGTGTTTTTCGTATCTTTCTATTTGCTTCTCCCCCTTAGTCCTCATCTTCTGTGAAAAGTCCCCTGTCCCGCCGCCTTCACCGGAAGGGGGAAGGACACAGATCAAATTAAATTAGTGTAAATGTTTTCTCTGATCTTTCTTTCTCTTTTTTTTTCTGTCTCACAAAACCAATCTCTTGTCTCGCCCCCTCCCCCCCTCACCATTTCAAGTTCTAGTATCTGATACCGAGTTCATCTCTCCCTCTCCTCCTTCTTCCGCCCCTTTCTTCCTGCTTCACTCCCCCAAAACCTCCTTAACCACCTCCGCAAACGTGACGTTCTCGCCATTGACCCACTGCGCACTGACCTCCTGATACGCGCCGTCCCAAAACATGGCCCCAGCTAGGTTCGGCAGGCCCATGGCCTTGGCTCGCACGAGGATGGACTTGTATGTGGCAACGTCGACGTAGCCGGAGCCGGCGCCGGGGAAGGCCGGGGTGCCAATGAGCAGGCGCGGGGCGGTGATGCCGTTGTTGATGGTGTGGAATGTGTTGACATGTCCACCTGGAGAGGTGGAAGAGGAGCCAGAAGGGGCGTCCCGAGCATCCAAGTCGACGGATCTCTTGCTCCTCGCCTTTCGCTGGGTTGTCGGGGCAGTATTACCGGCGAGGACAAGGTCGTCGGACCAGGCCCGTAGCGAGTCGAAGAACCCCTCGCCCGCGCTGAGCTGGCACGACGGGTTATTGTAGAACTGCACACTAAAAAAATCAATGTCGTTGAGGAGGCTCGCCACGGGCACCGACGCATCGGGCCGCGGACACTGCGGCGCCGCTGAGAGGTAGTACGCCTTGGACGGGTCGGTAGCCATGAGTTGTCGTAGAGTCGAGACTAGGGTCGGGATGTGCGTAGCGGCAGAGGGCAATTCGTTATCTGTTTCACGGCACCATAAGATACTCGGTTAGTTTTGGAGACGTCGTCCAAATGGATCAAGGTTGAGAGGGAAAGAGAAAAACCAGAAGTGAAGTAGTAAGGAGTGAGAAATGAGGATCAACGAGTCCACAACATACAAACAGCTAGGAGTTCTCCCCCAGGAGAGAAAGGATTAGAAGAAATAAAAATACTCACCAATATCAATCCCATCAAGAACTACATCCCCATACGGCCTCAGCGGGGTGAGGGTGGCATTCGCCGTCCCTCCTAGAAACAGGCCCCAGAGGGTGTTGGCGACCTCGATAGCCTTGTCATCGCTAGGCAGCGTGAGGTCCCCCACGGACCCGCCGAGGCTGAGCAGGACCTTCTTGCCCTGCCGCTGACACCTGGCGATCTTGCTGGCTAGGCCATCGCCCACGCAGTCGAGCAGCCTCGTGGCTCCCACGGCCTGTTGGGCCGTGTTGGGCGCCCAGCAGTTCGAGGCCATGTTCATGGCCGGGTATCCCCCGCCGTCACCGCTAATGAGATGCGTGACGAAGGCCATGATGACCATGTCGACGGCCGGGTCGTCGCAGACCTGGGTCAGCGAGATGATTGGAGTCAGGTCCGTTTGCGAATAGTAGACCACATTGAGGTCTGAGGCTTGTGGGTTAAACGTGGAGATGGACGTGGCAGTCGTCGATGATGAGGACGATGGGATCGAAATTGAGGGCGTAGAGGTGCTTGCGCTTGACGTTGCATAGCTCGTCAGCATGGTCGGCGACGGAAGGGGAGAGTGAGGGTCGACATTGGTGATGGGCAAGATGGTGGGGTGTGGTTGTGACTGCATGGACGTGGCGAGAGAAGGTAACAGTGTTGCAAGCGTGAACTGCGACGCAAGCAACTCAATTAGCTGTTCGATGGCGTTTCCAATCTCACCCACCAACTCGTTCAGCTGTTCCGAAAAATCTTGTGACGGATCCAGCCGCTGACTGCGAGCCAACGGTCTCCAATACCCAGCACGACCTGCTCGAAATATTGCGTCTCTCCGTGACCGCGTCGCTCTGGACGGCGGAACATGCTGTGCATGGGACAGCTCGATGGCGTCCAAGGTGCTGCGCAGGCTGGCGGCGATACCTTCCCAGTCACCTATCGGGGTTGATGCGAGAACAGAACTGATACACAAAGCGAGACAGAAGAGCAGAAATCTGTAAGAAAAGGCCATTGCCATTTTGACGTTGACGAAACGGTCTGACTGAAAGGACAGATGCACGACTTGAACTTATACCTTCAAGAGACAAACATGGGCTGGCGGCTGGTTCGACCCTAGACACTACCATACCACAAGAGAGCTGGAGAAAAGACATGTCAAGTTCAAGAATGATGCTCGGTGCTCGCGGGAAGGAATGTGGCGACCTGGATGCTGGTGGTTGTGTGTTTTGTCCATGCTCGAGAGCATTCCAGACCATGACACCAGCACCAGCGGAAGCCTCAGCACAACCACCATCACCATCGCGCTCAGGTCAGGACGGGACACTTCATTCTGTGTATACTGTGAGGGTTTCAGATCATCATCAAGTCATAGGCCGGTGGAAGAGACGGATGTAGATGCTGTCACCACTGAGAGTCAGACACAGATGAGAGGTTGGTATAGAGAGCATCGATGAATATTGTAACACTGCTGCTTTTGCTCCCAGAGGAATGTAAGTTCGTGCATTATCTCACCAGTGTCCAACCCAGCTTCCTGCAATATGGCAGATGAGGCTCGGATTGCGCGCCTTGCAGTTGGCATGATACTAGCACACCTCTTCTTGTTCCTGGCCAGATTTGGAGAAACATCTCCCTTCAGTTAAGGGGTCCAACATCAGTTGACCTTTTGCACATAAATGCTCAACCTTCCGCAAAGCAAGGAGATACTTGGTGGTTATCCCCTTGCCACTGCTAGTCGCCAATAATCGTCCAGCTCCCATACTGCAGCAATGCAAAGGCATGTGCCGCCGCGCAATCAGCGGCTGGCGCAAAGGATCAGCTGCATCGATCGTTTTGTTTGCTGCTCATCGAGACTGCAATCGCCGCGAAGGTCATGGCGCTTTAAGCAGCTATCTTGCTGGCGGCGCTAGACCATCTCAGAGACAACATTCTCCGTCGATCAGTGCCCCGAGTTATCCCGGCTAAAATCCTCATCGAGTGATCAGATGCATATGTAGGCGACGAAGCAGAACTTGTCGCTGCATCTTTAGCTTTCCGGCACTTTCCGTCCCTGCAAATGTGGAGTTAGCCCATCGTATAAAATAGTCCGTATATACTCCGAGTACCATGCTTGTTGTGTGCCGGCGCTTTCTTTCGGTCCTAGCCAACAAATGAACCGTATGGTACGATGTTTGAGTTAAAACCACTTCCGGCATTCGGCATTCTACCATACTTCTCGGCGCACGTCCTGTCAGCAGCTTGAACGCAAGACATATCCATGACTGCGCCCTGCCCATAAGCTGAGAAGAGGCCGGTCTCCTCGCCACATTGATGCAGGTCAGGCCATCACTTCCAAGCGATAGCTAAGCAAAATAATTAGTCCATGTTCATAGTTGAAAGATTTACAGGGCTTGGATGCAGGTGCAAATCCTTCTGGAAGCAGGTACCCACCATTTGTCGCGTGTCTCCATCAAGCTGAAGGGCGCCGATTATTGCCCAGGTGGTCTGCCTCCATTGGGGCGTGAGACAGACGGAATTGGTGGCCGATCACGGGGAAGCATGGGACTGGCTGTTGGTTGACACTTCCTCGCCATCCCTAGTCGGTCAGGCTTCTCTTCCGTCTTGTATTTTGCCAGTTAGAGAGATGTGCCGCATAAAGCATCCGAACCGTATATCAGCCTCGCACGTGACGGTCTTCAGGTGCGGCAGCCTTGTCGCTTGAACCAGGGTTTTTGTTGATGATGTTTGGCTGCACCAGTGGCAAGGGAGAGTCCCTGATTTCCTCCCAAGCCAAATCAGGCCCTGCTTTGGGCACCAGCGGTGAGTGAGGCAGATAGCCAATTGCGGCCCAAGATACCTCGGGGAATTCCTGAGCACGTCCTGCCCCGTTTGTTGGCGCTCTATTTTGTGAAATGCCGAGAATCCTGGACACCAAAGACTTGCAAAGGAAGAGGATGGCCTTCGATAGCGCCAATGTACCTCAAAGCGCCACGGGGATGCTAGGCAAGGGTGCGAAGAAGGCAGCAGCCCCGAGCCGTGCCGAGTTCCACTGCGACATGGGGAGAGAGGAGACAGCCATTCAGTCGTGCTTTGACCAGCACGGACGCAGGACGCAGGACGCAGGAAGTGACTTGAACCACGACTGCTTTCGCAATAGCCCCGTCGGTACCCCCAGGTCGAATGCCCATTGCGCGCAGGAGCTTCCCAGGTGGCCAGGACAAATCAGAGAGAGGGAAGGGCTCGATCTGTGCGAGGAGCTGCAGAGGGTGAAGCACCTAGGTACTTAGGTACATTGGTGGGATCAGATGTACTCGCAAGTGGAAATGCAGACGGCGGAGGTGCGTCGATGAGTGGCGGTCTGTTTCGCACGAGTTCGCACATCAACGGCATCCCCTGTACCGTGTAGACTTGGGAGCCGACTTGAGAGGGTTTTGTGGTTGGAAGACAGTGGTGCAATTGGGCGGCTGCGGCAGTACGTACCTTGGATTCCTCCCCATCCTCGCCATCCTAGCCCACCATGAGGACAAGCCCAACTCCAGGGACTGGAAACATAGCATTATATTTTCTGCTACGGAAATCCTCCCAGAAAGGGTCTATTGAGGATCACTGCGTCAGTTCAGGGAAGGTCTCTTATGATCTGCCGGGCCTGAAACACCATGCTACGTGGTCTAGAACCCTTGGTGGCCATGCGTCGAAAGTAGTTTCCCCTGGTGAATCTTCGGGCATCACTACAGGGGTTTTGGAAGCGCTTCCCTCCTTGATGCCCAGGTATCCACTGACAGGAAGCGCAGGCATCCTTAGATCCCTCACCTGCAAGCCACGTCTCTTGTCGTCACATCTGAACATGCCTCTACACGAACTCTGCCAATCTTATCAGGGTGTTTTCCCTGTCATGCTCGAGACTACAGTTCTATGTTCACGCAATGGATCCTCAATGAGCGACAAGTGGAGTGCCGCAGGTGACGAATTGTGGGCATCCTGTCAAGCCTCGTTGCCAACTTGCAGCCTTGGTGAGGAGCCTACACAGAGTCTGCACAATTCATCGCGACAGGGAATCGGATCACAGTTGTCTCCGCACTCTCATTGTGCTGTCAACCCACCTCAAGACCCTCGCCTATGGCTGTTGCACCAGTGGCGCGAGGTGCAGACATCCTAACCTCGACTCGACAAGAGAAAGATAATGTGGAGCCCTTGGACGGCGCGTGAGCTGCGGCACGACGAGAAGACTCAAGAAAGGCAAAGGAGACTAGAATGGGCGTGCGCTGGCGAGAGGATGCGAGCACAAGAGAAGGATTGTGGGCAACTTGCATTATGCTGTCCCACGCCAGCTGGAATTATACGAGCTGGACAAGTGGTTGACAATTTGACCACCCATTCGTCTCCTGCGTCAAACGTCAAGATCACAGAGATCAGAGGCTTGCCACGCCTGCGTGACACAGCAGCTAAGCCAGCCACACCCCTCAGGCGTGGGCGGAAAGATGGAAATGCTTGAACTGCGTGCATTGGACTGCAATGTTACACGACATGAACACCCACCATCGTTTATCAGGGACGTTGTGCGACAGAATAAGCTATCAACGCCTCTGTCACACAGCAGCTGCAGCTCCTGCATGAACAGACGAGAATACGAGGCTTGCAGAAAGCTGCATGGGGATAGTTTCCGGGTCCAGAAGATGGACAGACGACAACTGAAAGGGGCCATATCGGGTGATAACGTGGCATCTACATATGCCATCTACCGGTGGCAACCGCAAGAGGGAAGTAGGAGAAGAATCCGGGAGATTTCAATCCCTCAGAAACCCCTCTGGTTGTGAGTTCGCGCCAACCTGGTGTTGTACGAGCCTTGTTATACAAGTCATGTAACTGCCAATCGAGAAGCCATCTGGGATTGACGCCAGGAGGCTCACGAGACAAGGAAAGGGAGTTTTGTTTTTGTAAGAAGTCCTTTTCTACCTGGAGTTTTCCACTCTTTCCAAGCTCTTGAACTCATACAGAAATGTGGAATTTCATAAGAGCCAAGCCAACATCCCCAGGAGAAAGGCTACCGCGTCTACAGGGATGGGGACTTTTGTTGTGTCCGAAATAGGTTCGAGAGCCGATCGCCTCGGACAGTAACAATGGCAGCGAGTCAGTGAATGACTGATTGACGAACGAGAAATACAGGCGTCCAGGAGTGGAAGAAGAGAAGTGGAAGAAGAAGAAGAAGAAGAAAATTCTGCTAGATGCGTCGCAAACAAGACAGGCGCACACTCATTCACTTTCCCACACTCTCGCACGCAAGAGAAGTTTTTTCCATCACAGCTCAGGTGGTTTCATTATTATTGTTGTT